GCCTGTACCATTTTTCTATAGATAGTCCCAAAGCTCACTCTCTCACTTCCTTCTAGTCTCTACCCATGTGACGATTTAACCAAGATGTATTCCCATACCTCCTACTCTGTCTCTCTCTTCTTCATTCACTTAGCTATTACTACATACATCATATATGTTTAATGACCCCTGGAATGTGACTGTAAACTCCAATAAGGATTGTGTTTGTTCTGATCACTGACTGCAGTGTTTCTATCGCCTAGAATATAATCTGACACACAATAGATGCTCAATAATGTGCTGAATGTATATACACTAACATTATTCTCTTCAAGGTATGATTACTCAAAATCTCCAATCAACACCTCCTATAGTTCATTCTAATTTGAGAATTTGTGATTTTTAAAAGGAAATTTGAAATAGTCTTATCTACTATTTTTTTAACATGCTGATTTATTTATATCCTGCCCCAAGCTCATTTATTCATCTGATATAGAACACCCAAGCCTATCATTAGGAAAAAAAAAAAAATCTGCTCTTGAACATTCTCTTTGATTTAATTGCATGTTTATTCCTTCTGGTAATAATCAGAGACTAATAAGCATGTCCCTTGGAATATTTTCCATTTCATTTGTACTTTTATTTTATTACAAAATAATGGAAAAGAATAAAATGATGATAAATGTACTTTTGAACATTTGTATTCTGTGTCTTTCAGCCTAGGGCTAATTCACGTAAAGGTTATTTTGCTCTGGGTTTTGGCTTCCACGTCACAGTGTTTTACTTGAGATTCTGTCCTTTAACACAGACAACTCAGTTTCATGCCATTCCACATTAAGGCCCTGGCTCAAATGGGAGCACTGTGGAAATCTGCTCTTAAAGGGCTCCTTCTCAAATTTAAAGCATCATTTTGGGGTATTTGCCTGCTAAAGCGATGGAAAGTTCTCAAGATTTTCTATTTTCTGTAAGAAATATGACCTTCTAAGAAAATATCCATAAACTGCATTAGTCATATTCTAATTTTATGTATTTGCTTATCACATTTCATTAAATAACTTCATGAGAAAATACGGGGGGTGGTCTATGGTCAGATTGATAAATTGGTCATTGTTTGGTGTAAGGTCAGGTTTGCTTTACCTTCATAGGTTCCTCTTTTTTAAAATATTTTTTTAATTGAAGTATTATATACAGAAAAGTGTAATTGAGTGTAGAGCTTGATAAACTTTCCCAAAGTAAATATACTGTATAACAATCACCAGGTCAAAACATGGAATATTTTCAACACTTCAGAAGATTCACTCATGTATCTTACTGCTTCACTCCTTTCCAAAATGTAACTACCCTTCTGATTTTTAAATTCATGGAACTATTTATCCTGTTTTGAAATTCAATTAAAAGAAATCATAGTAGTATACTTCTGTGTCTCACTTCCTTTGCTCAAATCTCTTTCTGGAGATTAATCCATCTCATGTATTGTGTGTAGCTATCATTTGTTTATTGCTTTATTAATATCCTACCATGCGAATATACCACAGTCATTTCCAGTTTAGGCTGTTACATATTAAGCTGTTATGAAAATTCTCATATATATCTTTTAGGCAAACATGGAAATATATTTGTTAGTTATATGCCTGAGAATGAAATTGTTGGGTTATAAGAATTATGCATTTGCACATTTAGTATATAATGCCAAACTATTTTAAATGGTTGTCTGAATTACTTTTCCAACAGTTAGTTGTGAGAGTTCAAGTTATCCCATATCTTCATCCTTGGCATTATTGGTCTTTCTAATTTCAGCCATTTTTATGAGTTCGTATTGGTATCTCTGTAGTTTTAATTTAAATTTCCCCAATTACTTCTGAAGGTGAAAGCTTTTTAATATTATTCTGGAACTTTTGCATATCCTCTTTTGTGAAGTTCCTGTTCAAGTTTTTGCCCATTTTTATATTCT